TTTGTATTGTTAATTCCTTCATTGTGTGCATGTCAGAGTTTTGCTTTCTGAAGAGATAGGGTGTCTTGTGAAAAACTTTGTGTGAGGTTAAATTTTGTTCAAGTTGGCCTTCGATCACTGTTGAAATGTTAAAACTTAGTTGGATACAGGCAACTTATAGGTAAATTGGCACTCTCTAAAGTTTAGAACATGCTGTGATTATATCTATAAGTGCTTCTATGGGAGATAATTATAAACATCTTGGCTATTTGACATTGATAAAGGTGACACCTTGTGGTGCTGGTATTAAAGGAATAAAGGGTAATCAATATTGTAAGTTTATCTTAGGAAAAGAAAATGTTTGAAATGTTATATAACTGCATATGATTGTACATGTATATGTGCTTATAAATTTTATATGTCTGTGCAGCTTTGTACAAAAATGTTGTACATGTTTTGCAGCATGCTAACCTTTTCTTAAAGCAATTGTTTTTTAATTTTCCTAACATTTCTCTTGATTTGGTATTGCTAGTATAGTATGGCATTAATTCCCTTTTTTTTTAATTTTAAATATTTATTAACTCCCTTTATTGGAAAGAATGTCAATCATTTATTAACTCCCTTTATTGGACTGAAATTTTAAGATGATAAGAAACACTGACCAGATATATGTATGGAAATTTAAAAATTATAAAGATAAGTTTAATGCAAGTGCTTAGATTGCAAGGGGGCACAACTCTTCTGTATTTTAGTTAATGCACTTTATGTTATTCTTTTGCCATAAATGCTAATCTTGTACCATATTTCTCTATCTAAAATATTTATAGATGCGCTATCTTTGGCCAAAGGCCACCAAATATAGTAAAGTGTAATAAAATGGCAGCAATAAAAAAAGATAATAAAAAGGTTATCAGTAAATAGTTCATGCATAAAATTGAACATTTTAGTTTAGCAGTATAAATCAACAGTAAATAAAGATCATTATCAAATGTCATAAATCTGTCAGTCACTGTAACCCTGGCACCATTAAAACTTTAATGATGAACATAACAAATTGCTTGCATGTATGAATGTATGTATGTATTAATGTAGTCTATTTTTAATGAGGGTCCATCTGCCCGTTAAGGCACAAAAAGCAGCTTTCTCGGCCAAGTACGGACCCCAGACATGTCACCAGCCATGCCCTTAAAGATTTAATTTTGAAGCCCAAAGTGGTGATAATTTACCTCCATGCAATTTCCACTGAGTATAAGCCAAATATATGAAATTGGAGCCAAAAGTAGGTTACTGTACGGTGGTCAACCTAAATATACAGTAAACAGAAACAATATGATCAAAGGATGTAGCATTGGTGCCAAGCAAAGGGCCTGTCTTTCAAGCCATCATTTGTATCAAATTGCTCTATCCTAGCCCTGTGATATAGTGGAAAATCAGATTGGATAGATTGTCTTCTGTATGTTGCATAACTGTCCTTTAGATTGAGTATTGAACATGATAATCATTACAAATAGTTCTACGATAGTTATTTAAAGGAACGCCACTGAGTTCCAAAATTTAAATTACTAACATAGATCAGCTGGGACACTTAAAACAGGAAGATATGCTAAAGTTATTGAAGAAATATGCTCTGAAATAAATGGAAACTCTTATTTTTTTGTTATTCTATGTCCGAATTGAGTGAAAAATGTTGCAAAGCTTTTCAGGTTTAGGGTTATTTTTCACAACTTGAATAATTATTGTGGCAAAATGGAGTGAGCGAATGATTTGATATTTTGGGCACACATTATTGGTTTAGCATTCCATCAAATTGAATACTAATCTCGAAAAATGATTTCCAGTCCCGCCATGTCAAAAAGACTGAGTGGAGTCTCTTTAATTCAAGACATGCTATTGAAAATTGTGTGTAATGTACTTGCCCTACATTGATTTTGGGTCAGTCCATTATAAGTTCATGGAATTTCAAGATTGAGTAGGAAACAGCAAAGAGATTTATGTGACTTATGGAAATGTTTTTGAGTTATGCCCCCCCTGTTAACCTAATTTTTTCTGTTGAAATTTGTTATTAATAGAAATTTTGAAAACTTTCAAAAGATATTGTACTCATTCTAGACATACTTGCTACTTCTGTATGACAAGGGACATTATTAAGTAATCCTAATTTCCTAGAGTTATTTCCCTTTTTCACTTGGAAAGATAATCAAACTTTTGTTTAAAGATCAATATCCACAAAGTTATTTATCTTATTTTGAAGTGAAGTGCATAAAGCTGTATAACACTCTTGTATTGCCCTTAACAGACCACAATGCATGTTGTACTCATGATTTATTTTGACCATTTGTTTAACTCAATCTTCAAATTAGCCTTACTTCACTCAGTACAGACCAGCATCAGCATGGTCTATATTGCTTTCTAAACAGTCAGTACTTTTCTTGAAAATTTCCCTGAAAATAAGTTTTGTTGTCCAGATTCAAAGATGAACAAGTCCATTTATGATCGTTTAGATGGGTCAGGATTTAAAAAAAGAACCACTCAAATATGTCTCAATATTTGTAGCCGAAAAATTGTATTTTAGTACAATTTCATGTTATCCAGCGGCAGTAAATAAATTATAATTATGTTGTTTTCCACATTAATGTCCACTGGATGGATGAATGTAAGTATATATATTTACAAAAGGGCAAAAGTTTAATAATTTCTTTGTTTATGAGATCATAAGTTTCTTTGTCTTATTAAATGATCAGATGACCTTGGGAATCATTTAAGGTTGAGTAAAATTGAATTTAAAAAATTGTAATCATATTTGCTTAGCTGTTGAGGAGGTTATTCACTCCCTCGTAGGAGTCATGGGTCGACATATGACCTTGAATGGAGGAGACAAAATAAAGGCTGTCTTAATACTACATTGCATTGATCAAATAACAATTCAACACTTTTTTTTTTTGCCAACTCTGCAATTTTTAAATTTCTTTTTGCTTATTCTGCAGTTTTTTTATAGCTGCTAAGCACAATGTCATACTAACACACTGACTACGGTATATGTGTTTGAATGGTACTTTAGATTAAAATTGAAGTGGTTTATTTTATAGATATACCTTTAACGTTATTAGCTAAGTTTACTAGTAGGTTAAGCAAAAAATGTTAACAATGGGGTTTGCGTTATCATTTTCAAATAAACTATTGTTGGATAATTTGAACTGTTTGATTTTAAAAACTTTTGTTTATTGAGAAAGTTCCTTTCTTTGTATTAGTAACTGCCACTGGTATACATCTATTCATCTTTGCAGTCTGATGCTACTCCTTAATTTTAAAAACGTAGATTTTTATTGAAATTAACGTTAAACCAACAATAATAGTTGACGTCAGTACCAATTTCAAAGCAGGAAAAGTAATATGTAAAGTTCAATTGGACACTGATTTGTCTTACTTTTTTGCAACAAATTCTATTGTCTTTAAAATTGTAAAATTTTAGAATAATAACCATAGGTCAAAACTTGGGAAATTTGAATAAATCAAATAAATTTACATTCACTTTTTTCAAACTATAATATGTATGTTTTGTAAATGGTGTTTTGATAAATACCCATGTACATTATCTTACATGACAATGTATGTTTTAAAAGTCAGATTATTTATCTAATATTTATTAGATATTTTCAAGATATAATTGGGAATTTTTAACAGGTTTGGCATTTTAATAAGGTGTGGCCGAGTGGTTAACACGCAGACTTGTAATCTGAGGATTGTTGGCTGTGCGGGTTCAAACCCAGTCAGGGGCAATCCATTGTTTCTGTTAGCAAGAGACTTTACACCCATTGCTTAGTACTGGTTGATACCTGAGGAACGGATTCTCAAGTATTTAAATAATTAAGCTTTATAATAACTTCCAACCCAGTCAAACTAACAAATTAGTATAAACTAATTAGGAAAAGTTTTTTTAGCTCCTACTCTATACAAAATAGACAGCTGGGTATAACACCTTAAAATATATTACCCTTTTAGTGAGCAGGTAGTTTTAAAAGGCCATATGAGTCATCATGCATGTTAATATGCCATAAAATAAGTTTACAAACAAACTAATATGTTTTAAGTGCTGGCTGATTTGTAAGTGTTCAGCTTCAAAGTTTAATCACTCGGAAAATTTCAAACTATACATAAAATAGGAAACTTACAGTTAAACGATGAGAAAATGAGCATAATGGGTCTAAATTAATGTTTAACCATTTAAAAGATTTCAATCAAGGACAATTTAGGAGCAATTACTCACTAAAGCAGGAGCCCAAGTTATGGCTTGTTTTGAAATCAGTACCTCCCTAAATGGTTGAAATTTGTTTTGATTGAAAATTTAATGAGTTTCTTTTGAAAGGAGGCAGCAGTTTTTGATTGTATTGAATTCAAGATGCCTAACAACAGAAACTGTAATAAAAGAATTGTTTATGATGTATTTTAATATATTGCTGAGGCTGGTTTTGTATACTCTTTGTAAATATATTGTTGAAGATGGCGGATTGTAAATCCCCATTTGCATTTTTCAACTCTTACCGGTAATTTACAGTTGGAGGCCATCCTTCCAAATTGGTGATGTTTATTTCTTGTTTACTGTAAACATTGCAATACATGACTGTGTACTTAGGTAATCCTAAATCCATTCCATTTATATGTTTAAATGTTTTTAAGTAAATTCTCCTTCCCGTCTGCTTCCAAATAACTACAAGATTTTTTGCGGGAGATTGTTTTTAGAAGAACATTCATAATGTAGCAGAAATTGTTAGAAATACTGTATATGTGGTTAGTTAGCGACGCAGATATATTGTCAAATTTTTGCGAAGTGACGAAAATCGATTAACTTTCCTCTATCATAAATATGGAGCAACCTGTCATTAAATTCCACCCAGTTGCATGATTCGCTAATAATTCCCCACACATGTGTCTGGAATTTTAAATTCGCTAACTTTTCGACATGTGAAAATACAAAAAGACAAATTATTAAAATTATTTAAAGTGGACTTATTGTGTATTTTCAGGTGCCGTATTGCGACACAGAAGTCATGGATCTGCAAAATAACATCAACAACAATATTGCTGTCTTACCCCACCTTGAACATCAACTGTTGAATTGTGGGATTTGTCACAGAAGCTATAACTCGCCTAAAGTTCTTCCTTGTCTCCATTCCTTCTGTGAACAGTGCTTGTACGAATACATTCCCGCAGAGAGTTTGTCGGTCACTTGTCCCGTTTGTCGTCAGCAGTCAATCTTACCAATTGATGGTGTCAGTGCCCTACAAGCTAACATCTTTATTACGAGTCTCATGGATGTTGTAGGTAAGTAAAGGGAAATAATTTCATTTATTTTTTGGCCAAGGGCAGTTAACTCTAAAACTTCTGTTAGTACAAGGGAGTTAATTGTGTCCCATTTTTGAACAGTTTGTCTGATCTTGCTGATAAGTCGCAAGAAATTTAGGGCAATAGGAGTATATTTGCAGCAGCTCATTTGATTGCTTTGGCTGGTGTGCCTTTTAATAACTAATGTAAAACACATGCCATCCTTTATCACTGCTTTTTTGGGGTATATTTTATCTTTTGTGTTAACAGATTTAATTGGCTATTAATATTTTAGTTATTAAAACTTTGTGAAGGCATGATTTAAGATTGGCTTGATTATAGTCGTACATATATTTTGGGTTACTTTAGATGCATGAGAGTAGAAACATCAGTTTACATTAATAAACAAACCTTGAAAAATTGTTCTTTTTCATCGCTATTAATATTGTATAATATGGTGCAGTTATAGTTTTATAATGGCAATTGAAATAGAACGTTAAAAATTTAAAATGTTTCAGTACATCATATTTTGTCCTGTCACATGGTTATTCTGCATGGCTATTAAGAAAAACCCTAGAAAATCATATTCATTCATTTTCACATGTATATCATTTCTGTTTCTATTTCATATTTAGTTTAAACATATGTAAAATATATTTTTGATAGAATAAAATAAGCATGAAAAGATTACACATTTTTAAAGTAATGAAGGGACTTTTAATCTTTATTTACTAGGGAACATCCTAGGAGGTTTCTGCCAGTCTAAGCCAAAGGGACCTATCTGGACTAGGTGTTTGCGTAATCATAAAGGTGTGTGCACAAAAATATTAACAAAAGTTTTTCGCACATCTCTCGTTTCATTGGCTTAACCCTTAACCATCTTAAATTTGTTTATTTCGGGTAAAACCCTAGTCCTGTTTTAAATCTAGCACTGTCTGTTCATCAGCAAAAAGTGGTTTGAATTTTAAAATGCTGATATTTATTTAACTGTGTAAGTTTAAGGTCAAAGGTCAGATTGCACAGACCTGCAAATTGCAACAAATACTTTATCCTGTTTGGTATGCATTTTAGCCCTTACCAAGCAAAATATCTTAAATGGACTTGTCCAGCTGCCGTTTTTGTAACTGTCTATTATAAATTTAGGGGTATATCTTATTATCAATTAAGGGGAAATAAAGTTGAAAATTTAAACTTTTAAGTCAGCCAACAGAAGAGCATGGTCAGACTGCATGGGTGTGCAGGTTGGCCTTGCTTTATACTGGTCGCAATGGCTTGTCACTTAAGATCCCTGCATGGTAAGGGTTAGGCAAGTTATTGTTACCAGTAGCATTCAAAGCTTACCATAAATTGTCAGGTTAAGTTCCAATTTAGCTATAAATGATAGCTTTGCTATCATTATTTCAGATAATTTTACTTAGTGCATGAACATTTTTCATTTAGTCAGATCATATTGTTATCATATTAATGATTCACAGTTTTAATTTGCATAATTTATTTCTGTCATCACTGCATGAAAATCATTA